GTGGAGAGGAAAAACTCCCTGCTAATCAGGAAGAAACCTCCAGCAGAACCAGGCTCAGGGGAGAGGAGACTGTGAAACAAATAAGAAGTGAAAGWAGCTGTGGTYAAAGTCTGGAACAGCCTCACAAATGATTAATCAACAGTTTGGTGTTGATGGTTGCAGGCCTGAGGCAGTCGTAAGCAAGCAAGGGTTATAGCACCAAATATTAAATGTTATTTAACTTTTAAGATTATATGTTCCTTTGGTTTGGATCACCTAAAAACACTGGTGTAATACAAACTGTGATATATCATAAGTAGTTTAACACTTCTACATGTAAATACCAGGAAATAAAAGCTGACATTCAGAACTCGTCTCATGTTCATCTTTTGATCTGAAACAAATGTCTTCAGTGAACAACAGAACGAAGGTAATGTGACGTCCTGTGGAGGGAACTGTAACAAATTTAATGTGGTAGTATCTGAGCATTGTCCTCAACATGTTGAATACAACCTTTTTACCATTGACTGTTGAAGTCTGTGTTGGTCTGTTAAAATCTTTCTAAAGTCACTGGACGTGTTTCACTGAAACTTTCAACAAGAATTTATTGGATGTTCATTTACAGCTGACAAAACCTTTGGAGCTTACCCAATTCTGCATCGCTCCCACAACCACCTGAGCTCATTATGCAAAACATGGCTCTATGGAAGTGAAGTTTATTTATTAAAGTCTTACTATTATTTTACAAATAAACAAAAACAAAGCCTATTTCAGGCTTGCTTGAATTGCACATACAAAGCTGAATTTAAAGTGTCCACCTTGGTTAATATGCTCACATTGGCACCATTATATGAACCTCACTACCTGTAAACACTACAAAGAATATGATGTTTTTCTCTAAAGACTTGAAAGACTCCTTTTTCTGACTTGAGCCCCTCTTCCTCAGGTAAAGTCCCAGCAGGCTGAGGTGATTCGGATCCTCGACAGTAAAAGTATCCAGTATGAGCTGATTGATATCTCTGTGGGAGGGGAGCTTCGGGACGAGATGAGGAGCAAAGCAGGAGACCCCACTGCTGTCCCTCCTCAGCTTTTCAATGAAGACCAGTACTGTGGGGTGAGAGGAAAACACACACGAGCAGTGTAAAACATAACACAGTGTGAAACATCACACGAGCAGTGTAAAACATCACACGAGCAGTGTAAAACATCACACGAGCAGTGTAAATCATCACACGAGCAGTGTAAATCATCACACGAGCAGTGTAAAACATCACACGAGCAGTGTAAATCATCACACGAGCAGTGTAAAACATCACACGAGCAGTGTAAATCATCACACGAGCAGTGTAAATCATCACACGAGCAGTGTAAATCATCACACGAGCAGTGTAAATCATCACACGAGCAGTGTAAATCATCACACGGGCAGTGTACA